GAACCAAGGCCATCCCTATAATGAAGCGGTCTGAGGTGGTTGCCTCAGGAGGCATCTCATTGGGTCACATGGGAGGGGGGGCCCCCTTTCCGGCCAGAGAGTCCCACGGTGCTCTTAACAACCTTTGACGCTCTGCCCGACATCCTGCCCAGGAGCTGAGCGGGTCGCTCTGGCTGGCATTCTGCCCAGCTCCTGGCAACATTGTAATGAGCCTGATGAAGGGACCTCCGGTAGCCCCAAAACGTTACTTTTCAATAAAGATGTTGTACAGTTTAATTCTAGTGTGCTGGTGACATATCCCATCTGTTTGGATCTTAGCAGCGCCATCCACAGTCACTTCAGCACCCATTTCCAAGGGGCAGACCGGTAATGAGTGCAGTGGGATACACATTGGAAGTGAGCTGGGTGGGACACCAGACAGAGGTACTGTACAAACCCCCAACAACCCAACCCCCCCCCAGTAACGTTCACCACCAGCACACACACACCCTCCCCGGTCTCAGGAGGTGAAAAGTATAGGGACCCCCTGCTTAGAACCCAATAGATTTTATTGATCAGGAAGTAAAAGAAAGGTGTTGAGGTGCTGGATCTCTTAAAGCAGTCAGTGATCATACTAATTACCTCTTGGGGCAGCACAGCATCTTAGTGGTTAGCACTTATGGCCTGCGGCCCTGGGATTGCCCGGTTTGAGTCATGAGCAGGACACTATCTGTATGGAGTTTGCATGTTCTCCTTGGGTTTGAATGGGCTTCCACCAACAATCTAAAGACATGCTACTCGGTTGCTTGGCTCCTATCCAAAATTGGCCCTAGTGCGGTATTCTACTGGGTGCACCCAAGATGGCTGCCTTACCATCTGCTCTAATAGCAGATGAAGTGCTTTGAGTCCACAGGAAGAAAGGCGCCATATACATCAATAATCCCTCCAATTTCATCAGCCCAGTACACCTCTGATAAAAAAATGTAATTTGGACCTTATATGTTATGCTTTTTGAACTTTCCACCTTGCACACGCAGTCCCCGGGACATAGTCCCCTGGCCGCTAAGGCGAGGAGGCCAAAAAATTCAACTCTTCCGTATGCTATCCAAAAACTTTTGGCTTTATATACACTTTGTTGCAACATAGGGAAACCCAAAGAAGCAGATGATGTGTTAACTTGCTGCAATTGAAGGAGATTCTCACCTATTTACTGTGCGTTTCCCTTATGGGGCGGACAAATCGCATCGGATGATAAAGAGTCTATTTCCCGAGCAGACACAACAAGCCACTTGTGCAGTTAGAACAGATAAGAAGAGTTCAGCCTGA